TTGATATCATTTTTTCAAGTAGAACATTATATAATTCAGCCGTATAACGAATTGGTAAGGAAGGTTAAAAAATAGCATCTTTTAATCCAATATGAACTTCTCTCGCATAAAAATCTCCATTAACTGACTTTGGGATATTACACACTATTATAACACTTGGTATTATTCTAGTCTTCATATAATCATGATCACCAACCATCAATGTTAATTCTTTACCAACTACAACTCGCTTACCTCTTTCTATAGCAGCAACTGGATATCCGGGTTCGCCAACTTTACACCTATATTTATCATCTAGAAATACTAATGTTGTGATTTCACGAAATTTTGTAGCAAATTCTTTTTATATCTAAACAACCCTAAAGTATAGTGTGCATCTGGATGATATGCATGAAGCTGCCAAACTTGTACCTAGTATTACAATTTGTCAATTGATTAGTCAGTTAATTATTTTTTTTCAGTTGACAACTACACAAATAAAATAATACCTAATAAGGTACCAATAGACCTATCTATTTTATCAAATTTTGGCATAAAGGAGGTTAATAGAGTATCAATAAATATCAATCAAAATAATATTATTCTGATTAATGCTTATTTATTCAAAATTTAACAGCATCTATTGGCACCTTATTAAATATTATTTTACTAATTGATCAATAAGCTAATTAGTTGATTAGTTAAACTAATTAATTTTTTAATAAATTAGTTGTCAACTGATCAACTTATTAATTTTGTTAGCTTTCAAATTGTAATACTATTAGTACTATAAACTTTAAAGGTAGGCGTCCAGTATATTGCAAACTATTAAGTCATATTGGGTATTTAGACTATAATTGTAAATGAAGCTACTGTGCACTTAGAATTGGTATATTGAGTAGATATTCATTTTTGATTTGGATTAACAAATTGTTAATTAAAATTGCTGTTGCTAGGTGAACAATTGTGTTATATCGATATTTATCAACTGCAGTTACAAAATTTGCTACTTTTTTTGAAAGAAAGTTAGCCGCAATTTCCCAAAAAGCATTAAATTTACTTGGTCTCCCAGGATTATGTTCATGCAAATTAATTGTAATTCCAGGATCTTCTAATTCAAGGACTAGTTTAATTCTTTTATCTATTTTGGCTTCATTTACAGATTCTGGCACAGAAGAATCTCTGGTTAACATATGATAAAAAGTACAAAGTGCTGCAGGTTTAACTTTTGGTAAAAGTAAGTTATATGTACGAAAATAGTTTGCTTTTATTGCACGAGTATAATAGTGAGGAGAATAGGTTTGAAGTTCATTAACTATATTTGTATTTCGTTGCATCATTGTAGTTTCATCAACATCACCATTGATCTTTCAAATAGAAATTGCATTATATGTATTATTACCAGAGTTAAACCAAAATTTACCAAGTTTAAAGATAAACGCTCAAGATAATCTCTGTATATAACGCATTCTTGAATTGCAAAATAATTGTGATTAATAATTATTTATCATAACAGATATTGAAATTGGTAATGCAAAAGTTTAGGGTCTCTATTTAAAAATATAAATCCATATATGAGAATAGTCTAGAAAAATCATCATTTGAAATATCAAATGATAGATTTTCTAGTCTATTCTCTATATACCTATACTTGCTGGCAAAACCTCTATAGTGAAATTTGGGATTTGGGATGATTTTATTATGTTTAGAATTTGGATTTTAGATAATTTATTTGGGATTTTGATTTAGATAGCAAGTATACATATACCCTTTTATTAGCAACCCTAGTACTAAATACTAATTTAACTATATATATAGTGGGGTCATATTAATGATTAACAATTATTATTTTTAGTTTTACTTACACAGGATCTGTTGGTAGGTATTTCTCAATATCGATTGGGATTCATAAAGATAAATCCTCGAGCATATTTCCTAATTGGTAATATTTGGTATTGTTATTTGATATTATGTGGGTATTGTCTTTATGGATTTTAATTGTTATAGCCTGTTCTATGCTTCGAACTAGGGTTATTGATGCATGGTTTTCTGTTGTAATTTTATTTTGCTATTTTAAAAAGCTAATATAATTTAAAATTACAGCAATTAAAGTATTATAGAGCTCATGAAGCCAAGTGAATAATGGTTTTAAGATCTACTGTGATATTGTATGTGAAGCGAGGGCCTGACTATGGAGATTTAATTCTATTGCATTAAAGGGTTTTTGTGATTCTTTATATGATTCTGGGTTAGCATAGCCAAAGAACCCTATAAATAACTCTGGAATATGATAGCTGTGTTCCTTAAGTTTTAAGTGATTATGTATATCAATATACCAAATTGCTTCATATAGACAACTAATAAACTTTTTTTCTTGTGAATTAGCATCCTCAATTGAAGACCACCCCTACTGTTTGATGAATCCATTCGATTATATCATTATATAACACTTGTTTCTTGTTTAATCTCTTATATTTCAAAGAGCTTGGTAAAATTTTTTTTTTTTGAGTTTGCATAAGAATTTCTAATACATTTTGACATGGCGCTAAATGAAAAGTTATAATATCACTGGTTTTAAGATGGTAGTGTATATTTAAACCAAATACTTTAGCTGACTCTATTATTTCACAATAAGGACTAGCTTGAATAGTGGTTGTACCTGCTCTTAATATTTGGCTTAATTCAATATGATTAATCGTTTCAAAGGGGTTTACAGAAATATTGCATTCTGGAGATATTTCACTCATAACAAGTTTATCAAAAAACTCTTTAATAGTCATCTCATATGGTATTAGATGAGCATACCAGCCATGAAGCATTTTTGACCCTTTTGAAATATAGACATTTGTGATTGGCATATTTTATTAAGTACAACTTTACAAGTGTATTATGAATTTTGAATTTTTTAAACTGTTCTTTTTATTTATATATTTATTTTTTTTACAGGTATATGCATTCTTTTTTTTTTTTACTATAAAACTTAAAATAACAAGCATGGGCTTTATTTGACAGTACATAATATATATACTGTAGAAACTATTTCAGTATTGATTTTGATATGAAATATCTAGTTATTTCAAAATAACTATATTAAAAATCAATGCCAAAATACTTTCGGCAAAGCTGAAATAGTTTCTATAGCATGTATAATACATAAGAATAGATAATCAAGTTACGTGCAAAAAAAATATGAAATCTTAACCTGCAAATAATATTTACTAATTTTCAGATAAGCATTACAAATTTATTTTTGGTGATCATATTTTTTTTTTATTGTGTTTCTGTTATACTAAAATTCATTGACTAAGTTCTATATAAATGCTAATAATATGCAAGACTAAATGCAAAAAAATAAGGCTCAAGAATATTGGAATATTGGTAGATCAAACTAAACGATATTTTTTTTTCTTTGAATGTTTTAGCTATAGATTTTCTAACATGTATTAAAAATTAGTATTTTCTCATTGAAGTTTATATAAAAATTTTAAACAGGTTACTATTTTTTCAAGAACTATAGTTACGATATCTAATGCCTATCACAAAGTATTGGAGGGATTTACAATAAAAAAGAGGAGAACCAGGACAAGAAATTTAAATGATACTTAATACCAATCTCAAAGTTTGAATACTTATTATGAAAAAAAAAACATTATAGTATCTGCAAGATACAGAAACAGATTTACGTTAAGATATATATCAGAACAAATTTATTATTATGGTATCTGATGCCAAGGTATAGGAATTTACGATAAAAAGAGGAGGTACCAGCACAAGAAATTTAAAGTTATGGTATCTAATACCAATTTCAAGGTACAGAGAGATACTTATCTGCAAAGTATAGGGATAGATTTATAATGAAATAAAAAGGTATATACCAGAACAAAAATTTATTATTATGGTATTTGACACCAAGGTACAGGATGAGGTTTACGATAAAATAAGGAAAATTTACAGTTGTGATACGTGTACTTTATACAAGAATCTGTCTTTGTCATACGCATTATCCTGAAAATATACACTCTTCTAAACTTGAATATTTTATTATAGATTATTACAATGTGTAGGGTATGTATGATTGTGCATTTACTAATTTTGCTTTATCGCATATCTTTAGTTAAGTGCTATTATTAAAGTTTTCTTTTTTTAAAATTTGTATTACCTGTTATATTACATCAAATTCTGCAAAATAGCAGTTAGCACTTGTAAATTAGTTAAGTTGCATATATTTTTATGTAACAAAACTTATCCACGACTTGATCCGATCTTATTTCGAATATGCATAATAATAATATAAAAATCACTCTTAAATTAATGCAAATCAAGTTAAATATGATGCTTTTGATTTATACCACAGGTATTGGGTGAAGCACTCTTGGTAGTTGATTGGTCCTTAATCAGTCCATCAAAAACTAGTGCAGGAACAAAATATAGATTTGGAAAAATAAATTTTCTTTTAAAGCTACAAAATAGTCAAGAGATTGACTAATATACTAGTAACAAAACAACTGATAAATATTTAATTATGCCATTTATCTAATGCAGCGTATAATTCAAAACTGTCTTACCATTATTTAGCACCAATTCCATTTCATGCAAGTTTATGACTTTATTAGTAAATATTAGGTGGTTTAGGTAAGATTTATTAATGTAGGCTTGGACTTTGAGATCTTTCTGTATATAGTACTCTGATAAAACAGCAGAGACAGTGCCTGATCTAGAGCAAATCCCTCTCCTGTGATCAATCACAAATTAAATTATTTATATTGGATTCAATTATGATAGATATAATCCTTCACCAGTTTTAATATATATGTAATATTAATGATCTCTGCTATTACTCTGATATAAATCAAATCACTCAGGTACTTTGATTTATTTCTGGGTATTGAATGCAATTTTTATAGTCTAATAATGATTACATTAAGATTTTTTGTTAGAGTAATACAAACATACTCACTAGAACTATGGTCACAAGACGGTTTCATTGTCAGAATAGTGCGAACTATAATATTAAAGATATTAGAAGAATTAGAAAAGCTGCAAGTGGTTTTGAAGTAGTAAATTTTAAAAAAGTCTTGCACTTTGGAAATTTTTAACTTAAATTGAAACTTATAAGCATAAGATATTTATATATTATCAAAATTTGCTATTGTGAGAATTTAGATTCTTGTGCGAAAATTGAGGTGAGGCTATCATTTATTTTCAAAAATTTATCAAGTTAGATTGTATTATCGCTTTCAGTTAAAAAAACTAGCTTGTTGCGCTATCAAGTTATTTTTTATTTATTTAAATTGTACACATTTTATTTATTTTATTTTTTTGTTATTTCGTAGTAGCATTTTACTATATTTAAAAAAAAAGAATAAAAGAAATCTGAGTCTTCTAAGATTCTTA